AACATTCCAGGTACGTGGATGTAATGTCGGTCTACTGTACTCAAAGTGGGTATATAAATGGATGCAGCTTCGTCCTAACGAAAGTGCACCTCGATCTACAAAAGATCGGCAGGTGGAATCTCGCCTCTTTTTCACTCCTTATCGTTCATCCAGATAACATAAATCACGAGCCAAGTAGATCATCTCACGACCACACATATAACGAACTGTCAAGTCAACTGATAGCAAGCCGAACAATGCATTGGCTCCTAAGAAACATTGTCAGCTTCACTTAGTAGATTTTCTCTTTGCGTCCCAGACACCTCCAGCTATTTTCAACACATAGTTCGATAAAAGAAGCTATTATCTAGCATCTAATACGGCAAACACGGCATGAAACGGATCTGTAGCCAAGTTATTAACGACAGAGAAAGTGGACGAGAAGAATCGATCAATGTTACTTAGGACCTAATGCATTGTTTGGCTTGATAGTTTTTCGAAGGGTCTATACGGTAAATAATTATGACTCATATTTGAATCCCGTTCACTCAAATTCGCAAAAACATTTGTCACTGTTTGAATGAGTTCGAACATTGAGCAAAAATAAATTGCACAAGATGACAACCCGAGCAAAGTAAAATCCTTATATCATCTTGAAAATAGGTCTTGTTATTCCATATATCAATTTGTTTTCAGTTGTTATCGCATAACTGATTTAGTTATCAACCTCAAATATTTTTTTTTATCAGTTATGATATAATATGAAATGATGCAAGGTTAGTTCAAAACTTCAAATATTATCCACATGGTGAGAAAAAAACTGCCAATCATATTTTAGTTATCAGCGTAAGACTTTAATACTAAATCGATACAATAATTTGGAATTTTGTTGAAAAAATTGGCATGGATCATAAGATGGTAACTAAATCAGTTATTTTTGTGATATCTCAGAAGAATTCTTTTGTTATAATTTTTGTTATGTTGGCTGTTTATTCAACCACAAAGATAACATGTTCAGTTATCAAATCTTGATAACCGGATATCAGAGCTTGTTATCAATGTGGTATAATCCTTTGCTCGGGAAGATGCACAAACTTTGTTTACTCAATTTGGGGTACCCTACTTTTAACGAATATGAAAAGATCCTTCTCAAATTTGGGTTGTTTAGAAATAGCGTGTGTACCGTGTTGACCCCTCCTTTCACGCAAATATTATCATTTTGCCTACGGGATTTTTCAGTGGAGTGAAAGGATAAGAAACGATCCGATATGTTTCTTGAAACTGGACATTTGCTTATGGGGTTTTCCTTTAGTAGGGAACAGTTGCAGAGCCATCGTTTACGCGAATGGTTTCACCAATACCAAAACAAAGTTATCAAATAAAGTTCGTAGCATCAAAATTACGTCCCTAATGTTCGGTTCATAGTTATAAAGCGCTAAAAGCGTTAATTCTTTTATATTAGTAGTAAGAGTGAAAAGTGCCATATTGATTTATTATTCTAGCATGTGGCAAAAACGTAAATCCTTTTAATTCATGAAATTATCAGGCTAGAAATTGAAAAACAAGTAAATTTCGATTAATTTTTTCTTTGAAAAAGAGTACTAAATGCTCAAGTTGTGTCTCAAAAATGAGCAATTAATTTTCAATTACAATTTTACAGCAGATGTGGTATTAGTTTTTCATAACTATTGCTGAATTAATGACTTATTTTCTTGATAGGCCGAAGCGAGGGGCTAGGCTGACATTACATCCCGTTACCCTACAACAAAATATGTTTTGTAATTTCTAGTCAATAAAAAAATTAAAAAACCTAACTATCTAAAAATATTTTCATCAGTGATTGATCTTTCAGTTTTTTTTTTAAAGAGTTCATGAACAATGCAAATTTTAAATGAATAAAACTATGCACACTTAAAAATTTAAACACCCTTTAACAAGAACTTATGGTAAAATTTTTAAAATGTTTGAACTTTTTGTTATAACGTTTTTCTATGTAATGCATGCGTAGAAAATATTGTTTGAGACATTTTCAATCATATTCATACCAAATCAATAAGACAAGAAACTCCGAAATTATTTCAGTTTAGAATCTGACCTTCGTTGGAACACCGGCAGTGTTGGCAGGAAAAGCGATTTTTGGCATTTAATTCAACATCGATCATTGAACATCTATTACTATTTTTAGAGACATTCTCGCACCGTACATCCTTCGGAAAAGTTACTGGACTATACCATAGAGGTAACTCTACGACTAGAAGGTCCCGAAATAACGTGCCCAACTTTTTGGCTCAGCTCTGGTACTCTCTTCGATCCCAAGCTAATCGATTCACCCCTCGAAACATAGGAAAAACCAATAACCCCTCATTTTATCCGTCAAACCTTCATAGCGAATCAAAACGAACATTGCGTAGTACTAGAATTTTGAATAGAATGGGGTACGTTAATCGTTTGCTTGAGACCAATAGGCTAGTCAAGTAGAGAGCCAATTTAAAATCGTTAGTTTCATTTTGATTGTTGACTATACTTTACATGATTAGTTGTATAGTTCAAGCAAAATTGTGATCTCCAGGAATGAAAATTCAAAAACCTATGTTTTCCCATGCTGATTTCCTAATTTCAAACGCAATGCGGAAAAGACGGATTACCGTCTTCAAATTTCGCACAGTTGTTTGGGACCCCAAATGGAACCAACAATTCATTTTTCTAAAAAAAATGATGGTGATGACCCACGCACCCAGTATCCATCGACAGGATATGAATTTGAAAAAAAAAGAACCTTAGGCTGTCACTTAAGGTTGTTTTGTTACAAGCAATGCCTACTTTGATTGTATGTTATCCTGATTTTTTCAATGCTTATTACACACCAAATTTGAGATTTAGATTTCAGTCAAACGGATTGCTGGATCATGATCAGCAAAGCAATGCCTTACTGAAAGTCAGCAAACAATATTTTTTACCGAAAAATACAGCTAACAAAAACGGTTTGCTGGACACCCAGTAATGAACTGTCAAACTGTGAGCGTCACAGTCGCAGGTACGTACGCAGCAGCGCTGCCATTTATACAGATTTATCTGTATTATACAGATTTTTTAATCTTAATACAGACCCGATACAGAATACAGATTTATCACAGATTTTTAAATTACAATACAGATTTATACAGATTTTTATAAAATGCTTGAGAAAAAAAATTCAAAATTTATAAAAACAAAATTATTGCTCGATTTTATCAGCGTACCCCCTTCTCTCCAAAACTAATTGTTGTGCTAATAACCATATTTTTTGCAGTGGGATCTGCTCGAGGCGTTGCTGCTGCTGCGTTCTTATGCTTGGCTCAAAAGACTATGCTCCTCTAACATAAAAAAAATTAAAAAGTTTATGGAACATTTAATCGATTCCACTGTGCGTTTATATAGCTGCCTTTTAATAACTCATGATGACATCAAAATTTGATGTATTTTTATTTTGTTTTTTCGGCATGCATGCAATAACATGTTGATAACTAAATTTGTAATCTAAATAAAATATCTATATCAAAATAAGTTATCAAGCAGTTCTCACTAATATCAATATATGTTATAATTTTGATATTCTTCGCATATCTTTTAGCTCTCATTTAAGTTCTGTTAGCCATCAACTCCATCAAAATGAAATCAATTTGAGTTATCAGGAATAATGAAAACAACATAATTCTTGTTTTCATTTTGTTCTCACCCTCTGCTCGGGAACCTATCAAATTTCCATCGACAATTAATCATGTTATGGTGTTTTTGACAGCATTCACAACCAGAGGACCAACCGCTTTCGGATACATATGGAGCTGGTAGTAAACGATTTGAGATTGTATGGGGATTTACAGTATTAATTGAATATTTCCAATATAAGCATGTATGTTAAATACAAGAAAAGTGCCCGAGCACATTAAAATGGTACAAATACAAGTACTCGTAAACATTTTACTTGCATTGAAAATGTATTTCGTAAGAAATTGCGGATTTTCTGATATTCTCCATACTGCAAAATTGATTTTACCAGCACTGGCGGGGCGACATCTCTCGACTTTTCGGTGTAACTACCACACAAATGATGTAATTAATTGTATTGATCTATATTAAAAATATCAAATAGTAATGAACTCGTGCACTTTTTTTGCATTTAAAACTGCTTATCAGGAAGATAATGAATAGAAACTAAAATCTCCATACATTTTCAAACGGCTTCATATCAGTTTTATAAATAAGTACGGACGATATCACAAATGGCGCAATTATATCCCGTATGGTTAGTACGATAGCCCGAATAGGTGGTTAAGCACTTTTTATGGTTATTTTGTAGGCACTATATTTGTAAAACAACAAAACATGATTAATTAAGAAAAAAATCGTCAATACAGAAAATACAGATTTTTTTAATAGAGTGGATACAGATTTTTTATAAAACCACCTGGCAGCTCTGACGCAGCTCCGTCTACATCGGAGGAGGACGAGGAAATAAATAAAATTATGTTGGTAAATACATTGGTAATATATAATAAAATATAAAGGGCAAAGAGCCAGGTGATCTTGTTGGTGATTCTATATTATTTGTGTATTTGTATGAAATCCGAATTTCAGTAAAATGTTGTCATTTTGACAGGAGTTGGAATTGCTAGAAGATACAGCAGCATTATTTTGCTGGAAAGTTTGCTGATCTTTCATCATGTCTAAAATCAGCAAAATTTCACTGATTTTCAGCGATTTAAATTTGGTGTGTAGTATGTAAGCAAAAATACCAATTTTGGCTACATAAAAACATTCTAAAACATAACAAACTATATATCATGTCAGAGCTATTCAAAAATAACTCCAATTTTAATCATTATGAAAAGCTGTCTTGCCCCAAGCTTAGCTGATTCTGATGTTCTAAATTATGTTTAAGATAACTAGTCATGGCATGGATAAGACCTAGACCATTCATCGAGAATCATATAGATCATAAAGAATAAATCCGACCACGACTTGGGAAACAAAATGCAACTTACCATCGCTGATGTCATCGTTGAGGGACTCCGTATCGAAGGAACTGGAGTCCTGCTGGGTGGACGCAACCGCCGCCACTGTCGATGGCGATGATGCTTGGACTAGCGTGGGCACCGACGCCGGACCATCCGCCGGTGGCGTTTGGCCACTGTTATTATTGGTAACCACAATCGTCGTACGGTAGATTTGCTTCCACAGCTCGAGATGCCCGTGCAGTTTGTCACCACCCTAATAATGGCGAATCGAAGAAAGCAAAGTTTAAGGTTATTGTGTTTCGCGTTCGCTTCGGCGGTAGGTAATTGCGGTTTGCGTACTCGACGTTCCCTACCGACGACGGTTGCTATCATTTGAATGGAATGTTGTTGAAATAAACAAACATGTTATGAGACGGAGGCAGGGTAAGAAGGAAGCATAATTTTATATACAATCGGTGAAAGTGAAAACCCGAGTCTGACACTTGGCGAAGACGACGGCGACGACGACGACGACGCCGACGGTGGAAGAAGGTGTTGCTCTCGGTAAACGAATTGAGCGAAGTAGGTAAAAAAGTGCTCCAGTAAGCAGGCAGGCAGGCAGCCAAGCGAATGGCGAAACTGAACGATCGGTGAGAGATCGGAGAGTGAGAGACGGAGAAAGAAAGAAAGAGAGAGAGAGTAAGCAACTGGATTGGATCGAGGGCGAGTGGGCGGCGGGATGGATAATTCGACCATGACGTCAGAATTAGGCAAGGCTTATGAAATCGACGACGATGGCCTTGCTGGTCGAGGTGAGTGTGTGTGAAGTGCATCTCTTACCTGCGGTATACGCCGTACGAATTCGTCCATCGTGAGCTGGGCCAACTGGTCACCGCTTTCCGGGAACAGGGCGCCAATGTTGATCAGCGGGGGCAGGTTGTACTTGTTCATAACTAGCTGTAGCCACTGTTGAACCTGCTCCGGGGACCACTGGCGGGGATCTGCCCGGGGAAAGATAGAGGAGTTTTAGATGATTGAAATTTGATTTGATAATCGAGACCGGAAAACTTACCGGGTAAGATCCCGAGGGCATTGCAAGCCGTCTGAATACCATCCTGCGCGTCCTTCAGGGCGAGTTCGAAGACCGAGCCGATGTCGGCGCGTGTCGTCAGACCCCCAATTAACGACTCCAGCTCAACGGGTTTCAGGTTGTTTTTGCGCTGGAAGCTATAGTCCTGAAGGTGTTCACGCAGGATGTGGAACTCCTGGGGTTTGTCGGAGGGTTCCTCTTTCGGTTGTTTCGGGGAACCCAACAGGGAATCGATATCAATTGACGGCTCGACGTCGAACTCGATCTTGATCTCGCTGCAGTGCACTGGCGAGGGAGCTCCGTTCGAATCCGGCGGCGACGGGGGAAGCGAACAGTACTCTTGCTTGATGGCGACGAAGCCTCCAGACGATTGCGGAGTGCTGAAGTTTTGGAAGTCCGGGATGGATGGCGTTGGCGACGGTGGGAAGACGGTGTACGTCTCTTGTGGTGGACTTAGCAGTGGACTGCTGTAGTACTGATACTGGGGACCAGCCTGAAGTTGCTCCAACAGGGCCGATTTCAACGAAGATTCCGCAAGACTTTCGGTCCAGGATGAGGGCTTTTCCTGTTTCATTTGCAACAAGGCTTGCTGAACCGATGCGGGCACGTCGTGGAAGATCGTGGCCGGAATGTACTGCGAAGACGCGTTGACACCGGCTTGGATCATCGATTGTTGCTGCTGTAGCTGTAGCTGTAGCTGTTGACGCTGCTGCTGCTGCGACTGCGGACTCAGCGGAACTTCACCATCACTCGGCGTCAACAGCGATAGGTCAAACAGCTCTGCGTACGATGCGAAAAAGTCCGCCGTGTAATCACCAGCCGGAACGGTCTGTGGAGTCTGCGGAAGGGAATAAGACTTGCATTAGCACTTTCGTTAAAGCTACAATCTACACTGTCACTTGATCCGACCCCCGAAAATTTGTAACGAACAGTTGGGACGCTTACAGATCAACGGTCCGAGCGCGAAACTACGTTCAATGTCTTCCGCAACATATCTATGACTGATGACCGGTTCTAATCCCATTCAAGCATGCTCTGACGTTAGCAAAGTTTCGCAAACTAGTTTCGCTCGGTCTCTAGTATTAGTGGCAACGATCGAGAATTCCTACAAATTTATTAATCTTCTATTCCACCCGTCCCTCGCCGGAACCTGACGAATTAATTCATCTTATTGTTCTCCCCGTTTTCCAGGTGATGACGACTTTTAGCTACAAAACCCTCCACCCGCCTCCGGTTCACCAACGCCAGAGAACGATTAGCATTCACTTTGATTGCGCTTCCCCCCGAGTTTCGTCTTCAAAGATCGCAACACAACAACACCCGCATTGTAGTGGTGGAAAGAATCGTTTGACTTGAACGCTAGCCAGGTGCTGAGCACAACCACTAATCCACTTGAAATCAGTTCCAAACACACTCGGATTAAAAATAGATCTTGTCTCAAAAACGTGATTCATCTTCCTCAACGTCAACGTCAACGACGACGACGACCACGACGTCATCGCCGCACTCATCTTCGCTGGGAATTCTCGGAAGTTGCGCGAGCGCCGCGCCACAGTTCGTGTTCTAATTACCTGCAACAGGTCACTTAACATGGCTTCGCTCTATTGTGAGAATTTTTCTGCTTCTGCTAATTATTATTCTTCTTCTTCTTCTTCCTCTTCACTTGAAATCACTTGTCTATCGAAATTTGCTTGATACTTCCAACTGTCACCAGGAACGCATCCAACGAGCTAGGAAGTTGCGGTTAGACTGAGCCGAAATGTTGACACCGCCCAAATTTTATAGATCTATCTTCACGGCCCTGATAAGATAAGATTGGTAATATTTGACTACAAAGTGTGCGAAAGCAGAATCGGGAGGGCTTGTCGCCAATCAAAGTACAACGTAACACCTTATATCACCCGTGTCGATCAGTTGTGCCCACTGCGAAGCGACTAATTGATATTAGATAGGTGAATGCGGGGGTGGTGTGGAACTGGAGGCGCTTTGAAAATAGCATCTGTTGTTCCCTACCAGGAGAGCAAGCTTTGAATTCTGGTGAAAGAGTGACTTTTACCCTGATTGGTTTCCCCAGCAGACACGTAGGCCAGAAGCACATTTTCTTCCGTCGGTTTAAGTCGCGCAGAAGGGTGTGTCACACCGATGTTCGCTGGTGGCTTATCGAAGAATGTCCTGGACCACGACGATTGAACTCGGGCGGGGTTTGAAGAAATGATGAAATTAAAAGAAAATGTTGTTCGATTTAGAGAAGAAACAGTTTTTTATACATTCTTAACTCTATGAAGAACTATCGCTAAATTTAAAGTAAAATTTCGAATGGATGCTGGTGGAAACTTTTTAGGAACTCCCGGAGAAAGTTATAAGATACTTCCAGAGGAAGTCGACAGGCTTCCGACATCCAAGAGGGCAGAAATTTTCGGGGCATGCCAACAGGACCTCTGGAGCTTTAATGATAAACCGGTAGAATTTGCCAATATCAGTCAGAAGAAACTTCCAGATCAAACCTAGAAAAATAAATTGCAAGACTTTGTCGGTGGAAGTCGTAAAAAACATCCTAATAAAACTGTAACAAGCTTACGTGGAAGGATGGATGAAAGTTGATGGAAACATTCCAGTTAAACTAAAGTAAATTTCCAGGAGTGGCCTGAAGGCTTTAGGGGAATACAACCATTCCAAAGCAAAACGATAAAGTGGATCACAGAGTTATGTAAAAATTTGTAGTTTTGTTCCTCATTAGAATATAAGAACCGTATTTGCTTATTTCGCCATTAGGGTGATCATGTCCATGTTAGGGTGGTGCTAAAAATGTTTTTTTTTTCAAAAGCTTTCAACTTTTGAACCACTGAGCCGATTTCAAAGCTCAAAATACCAAATAAAAGATAATAAGAAATAATTTTTAGGAAAAATAAAATGGTATAAACTAATTGGGATTTTGTACTAAAAACATTCCTTTAAATTTGTCGAACCTCTTAACGGAATCCTTTTCTGAGGAGCTTTGAGTGGGTTGGTTTATTTTCTTTAAATTCCGTTATAATTGCTTATCTTTTGACTGATACGCGTATTTCGTCTACTACTTGCAGACTTTAAATTGGCTCACTACTTTAAGTAGTCCCAAGTAAATCGATTAACGTACCCCATGCTAGTCGAAATTCTAGTACTACACTATGTTTGTTTTGATTCGCTATGCATGTTTGACAGATAAAATGAGGGGCTCATGGATTTTCCTGTGTTTCGAGGGGTGCATCGATTAGCTTGGGACCGAAGAGAGTACCAGAGCTGAGCCAAAAAGTTGAGCACGTTTCTTCATGACCTTCTGGTCTTAGAGTTATCTCTATGCTACTAGTCTTAGAGTTACCTCTATGGTTACATCGTCCTTCTCGTCCTTCGTCCTACATGAACTTAGAATATAATTTTGAAATTTTGTGAAAATATTTTTTGTAGATTTTTAGAAGTGATGATTTTTTAAAAGAACATCGTTGGATATACATCTTATAGTTATTTAAATTATAAAACTAGCATCCACTTGAATCTACTAACAGAATGTCTGTTAAACCGATGAACGGGAGTTAATTGCATTCATTCGTCAGCGTGCAGCTCCCAATAGACGAGTGCACGGATGGATTTGAGTTCACTCACTCGACAAAAAGTGACACACCAGCCGGACCCTATTTACTAAAAATGAACACATGAATAATACTCGCAACATTTGAAACGGGCCTATCAACTTTTGTGCACAAAACTTGTTAAGCCCTTTTCGCGTGAACCGAATACGCCCACGCAAACTAACAACACCATCGGGTAGGGGAAATTTGCCACTTCCCGATAGTGCTCTTGGTTTGGGTGGGCGTACTTTGGTTCTCATGAAAAGGAACTACCTAATTGTTTTAAAAAAAATGATAGGCTCTTTTCAAATATTACGCGAGCATTATTCATGTGTTCATTTTCAGTAAACAGGGCCCCACTGTTGCGTCAATTTTTTTTTTCAGTAGTTGAACAAAAGTTCACCCGTGAACTCGTCTATAGGATGCTGCACGCTGACGTCACGAATGAACGCAAAGAACCCGCGTTCATCAGTTTGTCATCCGGTGCCGATGTGTTACCTTTGCTTGTTAGTCGATTCAAGTGGATTTGAGTTTTTATATAAAAAATAATTAAGAAGCATGATATCCGACTATGTTTGTTTGAAAAATATTCCTCTCCAAAAAATCTAAAAAAAAAACATTTAATAAATTGTTCAAATTTTTTTCTAAGTCCATGTAAACAAACCACTGCCAGATGTCAAAAGAGTAAGGTTAACTTGACGGTGTAGCTCCCTCGCGGAAGCGGCCAGTTGAGCCAATCGAGCTGCGAGATCTGTCGAAATGTGAGCCAAACGAGCATGTTTATCGTTTGCCTGAATGCTTCAGTTGAAAAGTATTGTAATCAGGGTGAAATAAATTCATTCAGAAAATAAATATTAAAAATATATAGTTGTAAAAAGAGTTTTTGATATAGTTGGTCAAAAGCATTGAGATGTCAAAATTCGAAAAAAGTTGCCTCAACTCAACAGAAAACGGCCCAAAAGTGGCAAAACCGAAGATGGATCCGGAAACCAGCTCGACTAAACTGGCGGTGCTCCGTCGTTGCTGATGCCGATCGCTATATCATTCTCCTGCACACGTGACTTCAAAAGATCAACGAAAATCCGAAATGGATTCTGAATCCATTCCGGATCCTCCTGCGACACCGAACGTAGAAAGAAACCGGTATGAGGACCAGTGGCAGAAACGACAAAACGACGTTAATATCACAAATTTTCATCGGTTCCACTGAACTGGGACCCACGGACACCCACCCCGACGGGTCCTCGCATCCCGGACCAGGACCTCGCACCCGAAAAAGAGCAGGAATTTAGATGCCCTGCACGAAGATTTTTTTTCGCATAGCTGTCAAACCAAACAAAAACAAATACGTTTATTTTCAACACGAATATTTTTGAAATAAACGTAACATTATTTTTATTTTAAACATTGATTTCACATGACTTCAACCATGGAATACGTTTGAAATCAACCTAATTTATGTTTGTGGCCAGAACAAACTGAGTTTACATTTAAATTTACCTCAAATATTTTTGTTTCGACGAAAAAAAATTCTGCTGTATGAGGGTTCGGTAGACCATGAATTAGGCTTGTAGAATGATTTAAAACCTCTATAAAACTTGCAATCTTACTTGGGTTGTCACCCCAATGGTTCAATCCCTGCCGAGGTCGGAAGTTGGTCCCGGCACATGTGTGTTTGAATGGGTGCGATATCCTACGCAGGTGTGGAAGCTGCCTTCGTGCACATTCGATTGCCGTCAATGGATGGCAATCGATGTCCGTCGGTGATTGGCACTAGATTGAAAAACAGAGACCGTCCTTAAATAAAGGAAGAAGAAGGAAAAGAAGGCTGACACAGTTTGCTCCGCGGCAAGTATTTCCAGCTTTAGTAAACAAAACAAATCACGTTGCAAAATCGTCTGATAATATGTTCGCTTATCTCTGTATATAGGATTACTAATTCATAGCACCTCAGGCAGTAAGCACGGCACTCGTCCTCTTTCGGTCTAGGATTGTGCGACCTTTAGTGAAAGATCGATCTTGGAAGATCGGTTTTATTAATGGTACTAGAATCGATCCATCGATTTAATCAGTACAAATCAAGCTGAACATTGTATTAGGTCCTAAGTAACATTGATCGATTCTCTTCGTCGACTTTCTCTTTCGTTAATAACTTGATCACAGAACCGTTTCTTGATGTGTTTGTCATATAAGATGCTAGATAAAAGCTTATGTTATCGATCTGTGTGCTGAAAAT